TTCTATGAAAATTGAAGCTTTTGTTTTTTTGTGGCCCACATAAACTTAAACCTTGTTTATTTGGCCCGTGTTAGCCTTTGAGTTTGACATGCTTGATCTAAGCCATCAGAACTCCTCTGTGGTCCTTGGAAAGGTCCTCTTGTGCTGAGGTTATTAGGAGGCCATGCACTGCAAGAAAAACATTTAGCACTGTGCCCAGCACATGGAAAGCAATCAGTCAATAATAGCATTAACCATTATTAATGCACTAGAGGCCTGGTGCACAAAATTAGTGCATGGGCGGGGGTGGTCCCTCAGGCTGGCCTGTACCCTTTCCAATCTGGGACATCCCTCTCACAATCCTGGACCGCTGGCTCCGAACCGGTCGTCTGCCTGCCTGATCACCCCTAACCACCTCTGCCTGCCTTCCTGATTACCCGTAACTGCCTCTGCCTGCCAGCCTGATCGCCACCTAACTGCTCCCCTGCCAGCCTGATCACCTCCAACTGCCCTCACCTGCTGGCCTGATTGCCCCCTAACCGTTTTCCTGCCAGCCTGATCGCCACCTAACTGCTCCCCTGCCAGCCTGATCACCTCCAACTGCCCTCACCTGCTGGCCTGATTGCCCCCTAACTGCTTGCTTCCCTGCGCTGGCCTGATCTCACCCCTAACTGCTTGCTCCCCTGCCGGCCTGATTGCCTCTAACTGCCTCTGCCTCAGTCCCCACCACTGTGGCTTTGCCTGGAAGCAAGTCGGACGTCCGGAAAATGTCTGGTAGATCCGGTCTAATTAGCATATTACCCTTTTATTAGTATAGATACTTGCCATCCTTCTTCCTTAAGCTATGTTTAACCTTGGTATTTGGGTCCCTTATATAACTTAATCATGGTAGCTTCAAAAATGTTTGTCAAATAATTAAGAGTAGGACAACAGGAATTTACTTTTTAACATCATAGTGTTACAAAGTAATGTTTGCTTTGCACAGTAGTGTGGGACTGGCCAAGCTGAAACTGTGCAAAGCAATCTCAATAATAATGATCAATGATCAATAAGATTCTTTCCTGAATTTCAAAATTTTGTCAAAACATTAAGAACTCTCTTATCATTGGTTATAAATATATAAGGAAAATTGTAAAATAGCAAAATGAATATTAACAGCATACTATAAAACATTAGAAATACTGAGAAATAATGTTTTATTTCTTTGTTAAAAATTTCCAGAGTTTCAAACAGTGATTTTTTATTAGAAAGCTTATAGTATGGACCAAGCCTCTCTTCTATGCCTTGGTGAATTGTCATACTCCTTTCTAAATTTGGGTCAGCTTCCAACATTCAATTTTTTTTACACTTTTAGTGCCATGAAATATCTCCAAGAGTTCCTTTAATATGGACTATTTTTTGCAGCATCTTCATTCTTTTTGTCACAACCACTTTCCTCACTTATTTCAATAAGTTCACTAAGTTCATCCGGCTGTATGTAGAATCTCTCGAACAACAGCAGCATCAGCAGGTATTACTCTACAACTCTGTTTACGTCTGATTAAACTTCCACTTCCAGCCTTATCACTTTTTTTGTTTCTCTCTTTTGATTATCCATTTCTGTAAAATGTCCCGTGGGTTTATCACCGGGAGACAAGAGGCCATGCAGCTACATGCTCTGCTGCCTGTGTGTGAACTGATAACAGATGCACGGTGACCAGTCACCCACGGACTCCGAAGGAAGTGTCAAGATTGGTCCCTGGTCATGACGCATGTCTGTAATTTATGTAGTGACCTGTGGCCTGGGAGCAGCAGCAGAGTTGTACTTGATGAATTATGTACAGTTAAGGTACTGTAGTAACTGAATTTGGAACCGTGTTGTTGGGGGCTGGTGTTATTTAACTCCCGTTACCATGGAGTAACTGAAATTTGTGCATCTGGGAAATGTGTGAGGGGGACTGCCTGTATATTCCATCATGTGATGTGTGCCTGATGGAACAGTATAAATGAGCTTTTCTGTTATTCTTGACCTTCAAGTTATAGAAGTTCTTGTTGATGGCACCATGCGTGAATGAGCTTTACTCCTCCAAGAAATGGCATTTTCAACCCTCCTACTCGAATCCATTGCTCAAAAGGCATCTGAGGGCAATTTGTTTCCCTGAGGCTTTCTACAGATGTGTCCGTGCTGTGCTGCTCAGAGTGGGTTTCTGAATGGTGACTGAGCGTGGGAGCAGGGGTTAGAGTTAAAGAGGCTGCAGGCTTTCCCAGAAAATTCAGTATGTTTGTGTGCATCATTGATGCTCCCGAGATTCATCATGTTTCCCAGATTCTGAACTGCTGTCATTTTTAAAGTGTCATTGGTTAATAACAGCTTTATGGGAAATATCTTAGTCTGTGAGGGCTGTCATAACAAAACCCCACAGGCTGGGAGGCTAAGCAGCAGAGGTTTATTTTCTCACAGTTCTGGAGGCTGGAAGCAAGTTAAGCTGCAAGCAGGTTGGTTTCTCATGAGGCCTCCGTCCTTGCCTTGAAGACGGCCACCTTCTCTCTGTGTCCTCACCTGGTCTTCCCTTTGTATACACATCTCTTTGTGCCTGAATATCTTCTTTTGAAGACACAAGTCAGATTGTATATGGGGTCCATTCTAACTGTCTCCTCTTAACTGAATAAGCTCTTTCAAGGCCTTATCTCCAAATGCAGCCACAATCTGAAGTATTAGGGTTTCAACATACTAGTATGAATTGAGAGGAAGGGACATAATTCAACCCATAACAGCAAGTAAGGAAACATAGCACACTAATTATAAAATGAATTCCAATTTTAGAAATGTAAAAGAACTAGAAAAAAATGACTAATAGAATCAAGGAAATGTCCTAGCATACACTATTTATCAATATTTGACCCTGGCACACTTTTTTCATAAATCATCTCATTAAATGGTATTCTTTGGATCATACTTAATATAAAATGTTGAGATGGCTGTTAAATAGACAGTAAGAAATAATCCCTCATTTTTATAAACTATAGAGAAATATATCTACTAAAATAAGATTTGGTCTGGGAGCTCCTGGTTGTCTAAATATGTTCATAGAAAAGTTACTGCAATCATCAGAGGCTTAAGCTCTTGGTCTTCAAGTACAAGTTTAAGGGCTCCTTTACTGTTGTCACTTGCAGAATGTTCCTCTCCAACGGGTGTGATCCCTTCCTTTCCGATCCTTGCTCTTCGGGCCTGCTTAGTGCTAAATCCACTCACACCTGTCAGGATACTTTGGTTTGCACATGTGCCTCCTTCCAACTTGGGATGCCCCTAGCTTCCCAATGCAGTTCTCCTGAACCCTGGTGAGGGACATCTGCAGGACCTCCCCTACCACTCAAATATGCTCAACTTGGAACTTGGGGCCAATGGGGTGGGGGCAGGGACCAACACATAAATGCTCCTATCACTCATCCCTCTCCTGTCACTCATCCTTCTCCTGTCACTCATCCCTCAGGCGGATGATTCTGAGATGCACTCCAAATACACCAGCAAGGTCTTTCTCCAGGCATCTGCCTTGCTGGGCAATTTGATAACACCTCTTTGTATTGACTTTTCCTGTTTCCCTCACCCTTTCCCTGGACCCTCTTCCCAAATAAACTACTGCCTGTAATACTCTGCTTTTGGGGAAACCCAGGCTAAGGTAGATGGGCTCTCATAACTGGCCAGGCCCAAGTCCTAGGCCTTTGCCTGGGCTCCCCAATAGGAGTGGGGAAGGATGAGGTGCTATGGTTAGAGTGGGGAAGGCTGGATGCCCAGTGGAAAGGAGGGCTGTTTCCAGAGGCAGAGTGGAAACAGCTGCACAGACCCAAATCAGGAGGGAGCGAGAATGAGAAGGATTATCCACTACACATAATGGCTGTGAGCAGTGGTGGGAACCAGACTCCTAGGAACATGCTTTACTGAGTGGTCAGGCTGGAGGTTCACCCACAGTAATGCCAACGTGGTATTTAGCATTCCTTCTGTGTTCCACCCATTAGGATACGAAACAGCCACGTCTCCCAAATTTTTAGTCCCCAGAACACACTTATAGAAGAGGTAAGACTATTATTTTCATGATAAAGATGGAAAACCAAGGCAAAGTGAATAATTGAGCTCCCCAAACCAGAAAAGAAAGTCGCTGCTGAGTCTGGGATTACATGTGGGCGTCCTGCCCAGGCAGTTGAGCCCCACCTTTTACTGGAACCAACCCCAGGGAAGAAGTTTGCTGGTTTCCTGGAAGGCAGAGGTTTGCATGTGCATGCCCCGTGCGGGGCCTCTATCTGGGTGCAGCCAGGACAGGGCTGCGGTGGGTGCGCCTAAGGAAAGGGAGGGGAGAGAAACCACTCCGAGTGAGCCAAGCTTGGGATCGGCCGCGTCATCGCTCACCGGGTCCCATGCCAGGACTTGCCACCAGAGAAGTCTCTTTGACTTTGTCCACGGACACCAGAGGACAGAACGGAGCTCATTTCTCTTCAGACTTGAGTCATGCTAACATCCTATTCTTAAAATAAAGATCACTGTTTGGTAAAATGCAAAAGAAAATGACCCACTTCATCAGCTGTTATTTTTTTTTTTTTATGTGTTGGTGAAAAGCATGATTTTCAGGAGGAATTGTCTCCACTCAGAAGTCTCTGTGAAATAGACAAAAACAGGCTTCGGTGGTTTTTGTTGTTTTTTTCTGATGGTGGTTTTGGTTTACTTTCAGTCCTTGGGCTGTATATTTAAGGAGAATAAATAGGGGATCAAATGTGTTTGGCATTTATTAATGGCATTTACATGGGTTACTTTCTTTGCTCTTATGGAACCCCATGGGCCATGTACTATACTCACCCTTTTGCAGATGAGCAACCTGGAGCTTAGAGAGGATCTGTCACATGAGCAGCACTGGGCAAGTTGAGAGAAAACCAGCCCCCCAGCCCGACTGTGCCTGACCCCCAAGCCAGTGCTGCTCCGCCCTCGCTGCCTCCAGGCTACCTAACTGCACCTGGTCTGGCTTCCCCCTTCCCACACTGCACTGCTGACCACACAGCGGACACGCTGCAGACCTTCTGGGCCGAGGCAACAAGAATCCCAATCATGAAATTAAGGGCTTGTCATGTTTTTTCAAATGCATTTTTTCCTAGTTTTTATTATAGATGTCAGCTTTTCCTCCTTCCTCAAAATCTACACACACACACACACACACACACACACACACACACACACACACTCACACACCTGGGAGGGAGGAAGTGGATTCAGGAGACGGCAGAAGTCTGAGGGACTGTATGCATAGTTAGGCTACAATAACAAAGTACCATAGACTGGGTGGCTTATGAACAACAGAAATTTAGTTCTCACAGGTCGGAGGCTGGGAGTGTGAGGTCAAGGTGCCAGCAGGGTTAGGTGAGGGCCCTCTTTTGGGGGGTCTCAGACTTCTTGTTGTGTCCACACGTGGCAGAAGGTGGGTGAGAGGGCTCCCTGGGGCCCCCTCATAAGGGTGCAATCCCATTCATGAGCACTCCACCCTCATGCCTAATCACCCCAAAGGCCCCACTTCCTGATACTGGGGGTTGGGTTTCAAGGTATTAATTTTGTGAGCAACACAAACATTCAGTCCATTGCACCCATTTTGTTGATTCTAGAAGGAACATTTTCTCATGCCGTAGTCATCTATAATCTCTGTGTCTTACACTCGCTGTCAACTAAACAGCTCATGTCATAGTTGTCATTGCCACTGACTGAGCATCAAAGCTCAGAGAAGACAATTGTGGAACACTTTTAAAAGAAACGTGGCCTACGGCTTCACCAGAACTCTCCTGAAAGTGCTTGGTGACTCACAGGACGATGGTGTCTGGAAAAACATGGATTTCCAAGTCCTACATCCAAGAGCGACCCCCGAAAGGTGAATTCTGGATGTGACGCAGTTTTAGTCACATCTTAACCAAGTTGTTAGCCTACATTTCCTTTCTGTGTGTGCAGGAGAGTGAGTGACATATGGTTTAAAAATTCTGTGTCCAAATAGGTCTAAAAGAGCTCTTTTAATACATTTAAGAAAAATTCTAAGTGCTAAGAAAGCATTGTGACACTTATTTAGTGTTTCATGAAATAGCAGTGTGTCTGACACAGTGAAGTTTTAGATTCCATGAAATGCGGTAGGATTCATGTTTTATGTTTCAATAGTCATCAATCTGTTTCTAATGTATTCCTGGAGAAGCATGTGAGCCATCTTGCCATTAAGCTATTTTCAAAATCTCATGGAAGCCTGCCAATGGTTTTAAATTGAGCTATGAAACTCTTGGTCTTGGGAGGGGAAGTTCCAATATTGTAAGGCTACATTTCTGGGTATATTTTTCGGTAAGTTTTTGTTAATCCTGGCATTTGTCTAAAGCAAAATAATAATAATAATAATGATGAAATAAGAGCAAAATGCTTGCATCATAAATTGTGCCATCCAGAGAACAACAGCTCAGCTGTGCAAAGTGAATGTAGCTTTGACAAAAGCACTTCACTTCAAAGCCTTGCCTCTTTGCTCCTGCATTGGTGAACTCGCCACTAGGGACATGAGTGTCCTTGAGTTCCCTTGGTCATGTCCCATGGGTTTATTTATTAATGTGTTTAAATAGAACCTTTAACTTTACCATTGGTGCTTTTAGAAAAACACTAATATCATAAAAAATATTTCAACTTTAAATTACTTCCCACCCACCTCAAGTTTCATGCAGTTCATATCTGGGCATAAAGAGAAATCAATATATTAGTCTAGCTCAAAGGCCAATGGACTTTGGTTTTGTCACACATTTAGAGATAACAAATGTCTCATAAAACAGACCCATTGTTTCCTCTTTGCACCATTCTTTACAGGGCCATGCAGCCATTATGTCTGGCTGAGAGCAGCTTCTAGGCTGGCAGGAAACTGTCTTTCCAAGAAAGCAGGATGCAGAATCCCCAGTTGGTGTGCACCTGCATTAAACACTGCTCCCTCCTACACCCAGCTCCCCGATCTGGGATCTGGTGCCCTGTGGGCCTTTCGAACAAGCAGCTCCTCTCCCTCCCCAACACTGAAGCCAAGGTCCTCAGGGTCCCCGTCTCTGCCCACCATGGCGGGGAACCCAGGCTCTTCCTTCCGCAGGCCCTCTCCTCCCTGCTGGCCTGGAGCCTCTGGGGATCCAGGTTGGGGCCAGAGTTTGCTCCCAGTGTCCCAATACCTCATGTGGGAGAAGTGGCTCCTCTGCTTAAAACCTTTCCATGGCACCCCATTGCCCTCAGGGTAAGGTCCAAAGTCCGAAAGTGGCTTCCAAAATCCTCATGATCTCCCCCAGCATCTGTGCATCTTCCGCCATGTACTCTCTGTCCCCTGGCCCCCGCATCACTGCTTCTGCCACTCTGAACGTGGTTCGGTCCCCCCAGACTTGTCAGCTTGCCCTGGCTCCCTGGTCTCTGCACAAGGCCTCCTGTGGGCTCGATTGGCTTTTAGAGAGTCCTGCAAGTGTACCCACCCCAAACCTCATTGTTCTGATGGGAGAACACATTTCAAACCAACTTCAAACCCACACTTGCAGTTGTAGGTTGGCTGTAAGCTGGGGCCTATGCAGATTTTGTTAAACAAATCGAGTTACATCAGAGGACTTTGGGCCTGGCAGCTCAGCTAACCCCCTCCTCCTGTAGGACCCCTTTGTAAAGCTTTGGAATTCCCACACGGAAGTGTGATCCATTGTGTGCTTGCCTTGTTTGGCAATAGATCTGGGCAAATGCTAAACTCCAAGAGTGCAAGTTCTCAGGGGCCACCAGCCAGACAGCCAGCACCAGGCCCTGAAGCAATGGTAAGTGACACACCCACTCTCCTCAAAAGACAGCTGGGCCAGTGCAGGCTCCTGCTCAGGGGTGAATAGGTGTGAAATTGGCATTTATAAGCAGTGCTTTTCATTGTGTGGCCTCTGCGAGTGCCCACCTTCTTTCTGACCTTGGCAGGACACCTTCCCTTCCCTGTAGTTCAAACCTGTGTCAGAGCCTTGGCTGCGCCCCCAGGTCCCTGATGCCAAATAAGCAAACATTTCTAGTTCCTCATATCGAGTCGGCAGGTGACTTTTCTCTGGCCACAGTGAAAGCAGAAGTCTGTTGAGGTAAGCCCTGGGTGGGGGCCAGAGTCAGGGTCATGCCAGGGGGCAGCATCTGAGGGGCGGGACCTCGGATGGGCTCTCTGGAAGCAGATCATGGATGGAAAGGGTGAATCTCAAGGGCATCTTGGATGAAGCGAAGGCGTGCCCAGGCAGACCCAGTGGGTGTGTTTGGTGGTGGAGAGGGACGCTGCATGTGCGCACGCGCGGGTCTTTATAGATTGGCGGGAATGACCAGCCCTGGGGCTGGCTGAACTATTTTGTGACCATTTTCAGGTCAGGTCTCCCTCTGTGATAACTGCTGTTTATTGAGCGCTGATATAGCTCCGCTTTGTCCTAAGGACTCATGCGCGTGACTCCTGTAGCCTCACATCAATCCCCGCAGCACCTGCTATTTCCTATCTGGTGCACAAGCAAACCGGTGTGAGAGTTACGCTGCTTTTCCAACCCCCCAGGCCAGGTCCTTCTGAGCTCCGGCCAGAGTATTCTCTCATCATTTGTTTTCCTGGGGACGATATGGAAATGGGGGCTGCTTCCCCTCCAAAGATGCAGTAGAGAAAGGAAACCCAGAGCACACTGCCAGGATTTCCCTCGGCGCTCGTCCAAGTATGTCACAGTAAACCCTCCATTTTGTGGACCTCGATTTAACGGACTTGGGATTCAACAGACAAAACTCCCGGTCCGTATGTCATATGTGACGATTAACACCCCATCAATTTTAAAATGGTTTTAACCAAGATTAGCTTATAATTAAATTAACAGGTTGTTTTTTTTGTTATTAATTCACTGTTATTTTAAACAAATTTTAGTGAATAGGCTACATGTTGGAAAAACTGTAGTAATTTCGCCTGCATAAAAACGTATTACATATGTACAACTATCGTCTACATATTTAAATCCAAGAGTCAGCGCTCATAGATAATGCTCGGGGAATGATTAGCTCACGATCACACCGCATCCTATGTGGGAACTGGTTCTGTTGTCGGGTGGCGTGACCGTCTGCAGCAGTTTGGATGCACATGGGCCAACGTTCCCATGTGCGCTAAGCCTCAGCTCAGCCGTGTGCATGTTTACTCCAGTGACTGGTGAGTGCACGCATTTACTAGACCTATTCAGTATAAATGCAAAATTACAGTCATACATGTAGAAAACTTTTCTGTGAAATTAAACTTCTCATACACTCTAGGTGGCGTGACCGTCTGCAGCAGTTTGGATGCACACGGGCCAACGTTCCCATGTGCGCTAAGCCTCAGCCCAGCCGTGTGCATGTTTACTCCGGTGACTGGTGAGTGCACGCATTTACTAGACCTATTCAGTATAAATGCAAAATTACAGTCATACATGTAGAAAACTTTTCTGTGAAATTAAACTTCTCATACACTCTCGATTTTAATTACACAAACATGTCTGCATAAATAAACAGGTAAATTAACCAATTTGTCAATTTTTTAATGTGCACACGTAGAAAACCTACTTTATTATGTAATGGACTTTCATCTTTAACAGACACCCCCTTGGCCAAATTAGTCCGTTATATCGAGGTTTTACTGTATTAGAAATAGAATAAAAATGTCTGGATGCTGAACACATCTAAGGCTAGAAAACCCACTTAACTTGTGCCCTTCCTACTGTCTTCTTTCCATTGCCACTTACAACTGCATTAGCCACCTTATCCCCTGCCCAAAGCCTTTGAATGACACCCACTGTCCACGGGGACAAGTCTCAACTCCTTACGTGGCTTCCCAAATCCTCCAGAATCCCTTGCAAAGATAGCAATGATACCATTTCAGTTAAACCCCTCGCAGGAAACACTATCAGACCTGTGTTTGCATGAGGAAGACACTTGGGTGTTGCTGATGGGAAAGCACTTGGTCTGAGTGACTCAGAACAGTTATTTCCTGCAGAATCCTTCAGCGTGCTCATCCTTCCTGAGCCGAGACCAGTCACGCAGCCTTCTCACCATCCTGAGGGCCCACCTGATAGTGCTGGGCTTCCCTGCAGGCCAGTGTGCCCGCTCCCGCTGCCTAAAATGCGCAGCTGCATCTTGCTTCTGGGTACTGTTTATTGAAGATCTAGCTATAGCTGGGATAGTTTGACATCGTGTGAGGCACAAACATTCTTTATCGGCAGGATGAGGTTAATTTCTGTTTGGGCCTGGTGTTTTTGTAAGAAGGAAATAGCTTTCATAAGCATCAGATTAGATCCAGGAAGCATCCACAAGGCAGTGAAAGCTGATAGAGGCAGAGCATCAGGATTTCTCATTGGTCACTACTGCCACCTCCTGGCTGATGCTGTTTACTACATAGTATGGGCTTCCTGGGAAACCTTAAGATCACATACCCTATTTTCCCTCTATTTACAAGCTCAGTGTGGTACAAAGAAGAAGGAAAAAAAAGAGCGAGAAAGTATTTAGATAGAGTATTTATTGGTATTTTTATATTAGAACAATGTAAATCAGAGACAAGAATGATTAATAAAAACAGGGACTATTCTCATTTGAGACAATGAGGAAAAGAATTCATCTGAGCAATTTATTATACCTTCTGACTTACCTTTGTCCAAAGTAAGTGTTCAGCCCTTATCTAAGTTTCTTAAATCTCCTTCCCACTCTCTAAAGTTGCCATCTTAGCAATTTTAGGGAATTTTACCAATCGTTTTGGAAAATGAGTGTAAAATTAAGGACTTCAGTAGAATTACAACATAAAAAGTATTTGGTCTAAAGCATGCCTTTAAATTATGCAATAAAATATTAGATTTGATATTAGTCATCATCATTTCATATTGGTTTTATTCTTAGGGTATTAATCTCTAGAAATTTAAATTCTAAGTTATGAAAAGGTTTATTGTAGCACACTTTATTTAGCCTCACCTGAGGATATTTTTTCCATTGAATTTTTTTCTTTTTTTGAGAAAGAGTGGAAGGGAGGGAAGAAGGGGAGAGAAAGAGAAACATTGGTGTGAGAGAGACACATTGATTAATTGCCTCCCACATGCACCCTGACCCAGGCTGGTGAACCTGCAGCCAAGGTACATGTCCTTGACCGGAATCCAACCCAAGACACTTCAGTCTGCCAGCCGACACTCTAACCACTAAGAAAACCAGCTAGGGCTATAACATACTTTCAATCTATAATAATAAAAGCATAATATGCAAATCGACCAAACGACTGAACAGCAGAACAACTGTCTGGATGCCCTTCTGGACGGCCACATTATGACACACACTGGCTCCAGGCCAGCCACGGTGAGTGCAATGTGATTGCTCAGGGGGGCCCCACCATCGCCCCACAATTGCCCCACAGAGGGAGACCCAGGCCACTGGCCGGTGGGGCAATTGATGGTGGAAGGGGGCTCTGTGATTGCGGAGCCTCGGCCGGGTGGGCAAGGCCTCTCTCTTTGGAGGAGCCCCGTGATCGATCACCCCACAGAGGGAGGCCCAGGCCACCTGGTTGGTGGCACTGTGGTGGGTGGGTGGGACCTCCCTCTGCGAGGTGATTGATCTGAGGGCCCCGAAGTCGATCGCCCACAGAGGGAGGTCCAGGCCAACACCCAGAGATGCTGTGGCATGTGTGTAGGCCGGCCAGCAATGGCCCTGCAGAGCGAGGCCCTGGCCAGCCAAGTGATTGCACTCCACACCTGTCATCCACAGAGGGAGGCAACCAGTGGTGGGGGGCGGGGAGCAGCGCCACACAGATGGCAAGCAGTGGCAGCAGTAGGGGCAGGGCCAGCTTCCGGCAGCCGGGAGAAGGAAAGCCCTGATAGGCCCTGATCGCCAGCCAGGCCTAAGGACCCTACCTATGGGGTCCCGGATTGGGAGAGGGTGCAGGTTGGGCTGAGGGACACCCCTCCCATGCACAAATTTTGTGCACCAGGCCTCTAGCACACATATATTGACAGAGGTAAAGCTAAGTTTTTTCAGTTATTTAAGTTACATTTTTGGGGGGAGATTGCATTTTACCTTTAATATCAAATGTGCTGAGATCACAGGCAGGCGGTTTCCAAACTATATTAAGGATATGAGCAGAAACTGTTCAAAATCCTTAGTCCCCTTCTTCCTCAGCAGATTCTCAGCTGGCCCACGACCACTGTGTTACTCTGGGTATTATGAGAAACAGATGCTAAGAAGGAATTAAACATGCAAGGATCTTATTAGGGGGACCATCTGTTAGCGAAGATGGGAGGAAGCTAAGGAGGACTGGCAGGGCCACCAGGCCCCGGTGCAGGTCTGACCACAAGTGCAGGAGAGAAGAAAGGAAGGAAGGAAGGAAGAAAGGATCTTAAACTCCTGTGTGGTTCTAAGGAAAGTTCTGCAAAGCTCTCAGCAATCCCTGTGACAGTCAGAGTTCAGAGATAACCCCCTGTGACCTCTGCCTCCTGGTACTCATGCCCTTGTGTAATCCCTTCCCTTTGAGGTTGACCAGACCTAGTGACTAGCTTTGAATGAATAAAAAATGGCAAAAGTGATGGGATGTCACTTCCATGATGTTGTTATAAAGGACTGAGACTTCCAGCTTACTGGACTCTCTTGCTAATTTTGGTGAAGTCGACTGCCATGGGAGGTCCCATGTAACAAGGGACTGAGGGCAGCCTCCAGCCAACAGCCAGGAAAGAGCGAGGCCCTTAGTCAACAGCCCACGAGATGCTGAATCCTGATGCCAACCACCAGGTGAGCTGGAAAGCAGATCCTTCCCTGGCAGGCCTCAGGT